CCAAAGAAGTAAAACATTATTTTGGCCACTTGTCATTTTCTGCAAAAAAAAAATGCTCTAAATTACATTATTTTATTTGAAATTTGTAAGAAATGTTATCAGAGCATTATGCAAAAATACAGATATTACCATTTTACTCACACACACCTAATAAATGCAGAACATCCAGAGAAAATGGGAATTTTCAAGTGGTCTTTTAATTATTTTTTTTAAGAAATGTAAAAACAGGACTTATAATTTTTCAACCTAGGCTATTAAATATGTGCTGATTAATAATATGTATGCAACAGTACAAGTGTATGTCTAATACTTTGTAGTAGTAGTAGAAATAATACTAATAATAATTATATAATATTAATATAAACACTGATATAATGGCCAATTTGTGCAGCTCAATTAAGATATTTTCTAGTTCTTTAATGATTAAAATTGGCTGTAATTGTTATCAAGTTTTAATCAGGCATCTAATATTGCATCCTACAGAAGAAACAAAGCCATGTGGGTTTGAAACAACATGAGGGTGACTAAATGATATATTTCTTACATTCACACACCGTACAGTTCATCTCCCTTGCCAAAATATCCAAAATTCCTTCGCTGGACTTGTGAATAAACGATTAGGGCTCAGGATGACGGTTCTCATCAGCATCCTCATTTCCAGTGCCAATATTTCTAGTCTTTTCTTTTCTCTTTTAACTAAAGCTAGACAAACACATGCCAAACATCATTGACATTAGCAGTATTACTATAGCCATCAGTTGTTTAATACCTCAAAACCAGCAGATTAATGCTGTAAGACTGTGAATTAACGCTAGATATACTGTACAGTGTTGCATCTATTAAAGGTTTCATTAGGTTGTCACTGATCAATATCTGAGCCTGAAATTAAAGCAGTATTTTATTTAGGTGCATACAGTATCTGATTTGCTAAATGCTCTAGATTGTGTATTTTAGTTTCCTTTGTTCTGTATTTATTCTGTTATTAGTGGGATTGGAGACTGGTTTATTATATACACACTATACATGAGTGACGAGTGCGTGATTTTGTACTTTTTTGCATGTTTTCTTACTGATTAAAAAATAATAAATAAGTACAAAAAAGCTCTTTCATTGTTTTTGATGAATCAAGACACAGATTCAGAAAGAAAACAATTCTCTGTTTACATATTTTGTCCACATACAGTTAAAACCAGAAGTTTACATACACTCTATTGACCTTATTCTAAAATGCGGAAGTGCGCCTGTTTTCGCGATTGTCTTAGAACTTCCGATTCAGTCGCCTATGGGAGAAATGACTAGGAATAATAAACGGCAGAAAACGGTCAAACTACTTGCTCTACAAACAAATGTTTGCATGACTACACAGACCAAGTAGAATAATATAATAAGAAAATATCAAATTGCATCATCAAACAGCGAAATGAGCAGTTTTTAACGTCAAAAAATGAATGGAAGTGAATGAGACCGGAAGTCTCAAGCCAAAAAGATTCAAATGGCAGCGCCCGCTCGTTGGCGGAGAATAAAAAGGAACATAACCAATTTTTTTAAATGTCTGATGGTAAATCATGCTAAATGTTTACTATTTTAGGTCCATTATAGGATTATCTAAATGATTTGCATTTGCTAAATCCCAAAATAATGAGAGATAATTTGTTTTTTGAGAATTTTTTATTAATTTCTAGACAGTCAAAAGTTTACACACATTTCCTTCGTATTTTTAGCTTTGCTTTTAAACTGTATAACTTTGGTCAGATGTTTTGGGTCTCCTTCCACAAGCTTCTCACAATGGTTTGCAGGAGTTTTGGCCCATTCCTCCTGACAGAATTGCTGTAATTGAGTCAGATTTGTTGGCTGTCTTGCTCGCACAAGCTTTTTCAACTCTGCCCACACATTTTCTATAGGATTGAGATCAGGGCTTTGTGATGGCCACACCAAAACATTCACTCTGTTGTCCTTAAAGCACATTTGAACTAATTTGGCAGTATGCTTAAGGTCATGGTCTGTTTGGAAGACCCATGCGTGGCCAAGTTTTAATTTTCTGGCTGATGTCTTGAGATGTTGCTTCAGTATTTCTACACAATGTTCTTTCTTCATGATGCCATCTATGCTGTGAAGTGGACCAGTCCCTCCTGCAGCAAAACAGCCCCACAACATGATGCTGCCACCCCCATGCGTCACAGTTGGGATGGTGTTCCTAGGCTTGTAAGCTTTCCCCTTTGTCCTCCAAATGTAACACTGATCATTATGGCCAAACTTTTTAATCTGAGTTCCATCAGACCACAGGACATCTCTAAACATGGGTCTTTTCCCAGTGTAATTTAGCTAATTGTAATCTGGCTTTGTTGATTGTGGCTTGTTGATTTTCCCATGTTGTCACACAAGGAAGCAGTGTGTTTGAGCTTTTCCTTAAATACTATTCTATAGTTGTGCCTCCTGTTAACTCAAATGTTGTCAATTAGCCAATCAGAAACTTCCAAAACCTTGACACCATCATCTGAGCTTTTCCAGAAGCATAAAAATCTTATTGAATGAATGTATGCATGTATGTTTATTTTATTTAATGTAATTTCTCAATAAATATCTCTCTCATTATTCTGCTATTAAGCAGAACAGAAACAAATGTGATAATCCTAACTTACCTAAAATAGAAAACGTTTAGTCAAATTAACATCCGACTTTTATTAAATGGAAATTTAGAAAAAACTGTGACATAGATCCGCATCTGATCAATCAAATTAGCATTTTATTTTGGTGTTTCAACTTCTGAGTATTTCAAAGTTTTTAGTTTTTTAATGCAATCACACATAAAAACAAAGCTATACAAAACTATTTTTGCATAGATATATTTAAACTTATATATAATTTGACTCCATAATCATATATATTATGCAGTCATATATTATATCTAAATAAACAAACATGTTCTCAAATGAATGCATGCATGTGTGGGTTCATAAATAATAAATATACGCAGTACACACACTTATGTCAAAACAAACTTTTATTTTGGATGTGATTAATCCTTGCCCAACACAAATAAATTACCTGAGAAAAGTCTTGTCGCCTATTCAAGTTTTAGGAACAGTAACAATAACTGGACTTCTAGTTGATCATTTGGTATCAGAAGTGGCTTATATGAAAGGTAAAGGCCTCTAGATTATGCTTGTTTGAGCACAATAACATATGATCATGCCTTGATTTTGTATGATTTCATTAGGACAGTAAGGCCTGACTCTCCATACTGAATGTAACCGCAAACCATGATTTTTCCTCCACCAAACTTGACTGATATCCATGACAATGTTGGGTCCATGAGGGCTCCGGTAGGTCTTCTGCAGTATTTATGATTGGGATGCAGCTCAACAGATGATTCTGTGATTGACAACTTTTGTCAGGTATATACATTATATTTGGAATTAGATTTTATTTTCAGTTTGTGCTGTCTTGTTTATTAATGTTTTAGTAACGCTGCTTTTTTAAATAATTCATTTTGTTCAACTGGTTTTTAGTTTAATGCATTTTTTGGTGCTTTCTGTGGTCTTAGTTTAATGTAATTTATCCAAGATCATAGATCCAACAAACAAAACATTATAACATTATAACAATTATTGATAGTTAATCCAATTAATTAAAATAAAAATTAAATAAGATTATCAGACCAATTTATTAACTGATATTCATTCATTCATTTTCTTGTCGGCTTAGTCCCTTTATTAATCCGGGGGCGCCACAGCGGAATGAACGGCCAACTTATCTAGCATATGTTTTACTCAGCGGATTCCCTTCCAGCCGCAACCCAACACTGGGAAACACCTATACACTCTTGCATTCCCACAAACTCATACACTATGGTCAATTTAGCTTATTCAATTGCCCTATAGCACATGTGTCTAGACTGTGGGGGAAATGCAAACTCCACACAGAAATGCCTTATGACCCAGCTGGGGCTTGAACCAGCGGTCTTCTTGCTGTGAGGCGATCGTGCTACCCATTGCGCCACTGTGATGCCCATTTAACTGATATTTTTAAAGCATTCAGCGCAAACATCATAAAACATTTAATTGACATTTATTTTTCAAGTACTTGCTGTATGATCAATCAATATGTCCATGATGAGATTTGAATGTATTAATCTGAGGCACATGTTTATATTCAGCTCACTTTAAAGTGCAGAGTTTGATTTTCTTCCATGATTTGAGCCTTAATCCAGCAGGAGCTGAGGATTCTGGGACGTGAGGAGGCGATGTATTCGGCCGGCGAGCTCAGGACCGACACGCCTCTCGTTAGCTCCACCCACCACCATGAGATCAGCCAATAGCTTGCGTGGCTCCTCCCCCGACGGCAGCTCATCATAGGCCTGCAGGTAAATGAGGGTATAGAGCATTTTGAGGGATGTAAACAATACTACAGTAGGTATCAACCTATTACCTGTTTTACATTTTAAGATATCATAGTCTCTGAGAATCCTAAAAAGTCCAAATATTGATAAATAATGTTGTGACATCAGTTTTAACGTTATGATTAAATTAGGTTTGACAACATGCAGGAAATGTTCATGGGCCAATGACAACACCACATTGAAATGGCCTATATTAGCAGTGTACTTCACTGCGAGGCCAGAATATAGGTACAATATTTAATTTTCACCACTAGAGGGAGTGTATTCACAACAAACAAAGGCATACTTTGATGATGCAGTGACTGAGTGTGGAATCATGGAAGTTGTGATCATCTTTATATCCTACATGACATTCATTACGTTCATTAAAGCTTTTATTATGCCAAACTCCACCACTTCCTATTTTCATGATCAGATGGAGAGGAAACTGTTTTATCAGACTGAATACATTTTAGGCTACAACATATTAAAGCCTCGCTGCTGTCTACCTGCAACCAAAACAAAAAATGAGAGTGTGTGAAGTCATTTGCATGAACACACAGCACATAATTCAACATCTCACTAATTAAAATTGACTATTTCTCTGAATTTGAACATTCTTTTAAATATTTGGGATAATTTAAATACATACGTTTGCAAAATATATAACCCTGTGGCTTTAGTGGCTTTTAAATATTTAAATTAGCAATTTTTTTTTACATATTGTGCATTAAATGATGTCAATTTTCCATGATCACCAGTCATTTAAGTTAACAATCCATATATTAATTATTAACCTTAACAGGTCACCCAAAAAATGAAAACTCTGCCATCATTTACATCTTGTTTGCATTTTTTGAATCTGTTGAACACAACAGCATATTCTGAAGAATGAACCGCTAAACATTGACACCCATAGTAGATAAAAACACATACTATGAAACTAAATGACTTCCAGTTTCCAACATTCTTCAAAACATCTTATTTTGTGCTTAACAGAAAAAAACTAAAACAGGTTTGTGACAAGTAAATGACAGAATTGAAATTGTTTGGTGAACTATCCCTTTAATGAACCACTGATGATGTGCATCGATTTAAAAGGACTATTGACATAATTAGGGCCAAACAGAATCTGCGGACATTTTTTGCTATTTCTGCCCAGAATTTAGTAAATAATATGCAGAATTATATTGGAAGTATAATAACCAAAAACTTAATAAAAACATAATATAAATAAAATAATAACTTTTATTTAAGGTTCACAATGCAAATCCAATTAAATTAAGTCTCTCAAATAATATATCTAGTAAAAGACTGAAAATATTAATTTACAAACTGTATTGTTAATAAATCATATAAGCGTTTGCATATTGCCCAATAAAATTACTGAAATTAATATAAAAACTGGGTTGGACCCCCTGTTGCCTTTCAGCTGGAACCAGTCTGGCCATTCTCCTCAGATCTCTGGCATCAACAAGGCATTTGTGCCCACAGAACAGCCGCTCACTGGATATTTCCTATTTTTCTTCATTCTCTGTAAACCCTAGAGATGGTTGTGCGTGAAAATCCCAGTAGATCAGCAGTTTCTGAAATACTCAGACCAGCCCGTCTAACACCAACAACCATGCCACGTTTAAAGTCACTTAAATCCCATTTCTTCCCTATTCTGATGCTCGGTTTGAACTGCAGCAGATCGTCTTTACCATGTCTACATGCCTAAATGCATTGAGTTTCAACCATGTGATTGGCTGATTAGAAATTAGCGTTAACAAGCAGTTGGACAGGTGTACCTAATAAACTGGCCGGTGAGTATAGATTCAACAATATGCAAAAAATTAGCAGATTATTTATATAGGTTCTGTGTAGGCATACTATTAATCAATCATCATTGAATGGTTATCATCCCTACACTAAAAAAAATATTTTTAAGGTACAGTAAGTGGTTGCAAACAATTCATAAGGGCTGAATTTAAACAAAATAAATGTAGTAATGCTCAACTGAATGTGTTTTGTTTAAATTCAGCCCACATACACAGATTGCACCACTTACTTCACCTTAAAAAATGCAGTGAATCATTTTTTCAGTGTAGTCTGAGCACAGGTCACCTGCAGCAGGAGTGATGGTGAAGGGAAGGCGCTGGTCACTGTTTTGGCCACGGCTGTACTGACGCGGTTCAGCTGCTGTATTTGCCGTGTCCACACCTGAGCGAGACCGCGGCCATCTCTGTCCACTCGCACACCAGCTGACCACGAGCCGTCCATGCAGAAACCCAGATCAGGTTCAACACACAACGCCCTGATAACAGAAAACAGCTGGACTGAGGAATAAAGAGCAGCGGCTGACGGAGAGATCAACACTACACAGGCCAGTCTTAATGTTCTACAGTGAGCTCCCTAATGTGATTCTTATTATTAACTCTTTCCCTGCTATTGAGGAGATATCTCATCAATTAAGAAACAACATGTCAGCACAAATAGTTTTGTAGATATGCGCTGACATTTATTACACAACAACCCGAGTTCGATTCCCGGCTAGAGGTCCTTTGCTGGACTTTCCCCTATCTCTCTGCTCCTCATGCTTTCCATGCTCCACTATACTGTCCTATAAAAATAAATGTTAAAAAACCCCTATAAAAGTTATAAAATAAAATAATTAAGACACAATGCTTCCCTGCCCTTGATGAGTAAATTATGGTGGTCCATGTTTTAGGTATATTATGGTAAGGGAAACCCTAGCGCATGTCCTGGATGAGTTACAGCCATGTTTCCCAACCCTGTTCCTAAAGGCACACCAACTGTACACAATTTTCAACCTCTCCTTAATCAAATACACCTGAATCAACTCCTCAGAACATAAGAGGAGACTCCAAAACCTGAAGTTAATGGGTCAGATAAGGGAGACATCCAAAATATGTACTGTTGGTGTGCCTCCAGGAACAGGCTTGGGAAACACTGACCTATTCAATTAAGAAATAACATGTTGGCAACAATAGCTTTATGCAATGTAAATGTAATGTAATGTGTTTTCCCTATCACTCCCCATGCTCCACTGTACTGTCCAATAAAAATAAAGATAAAAACCCCTATAAAAGTTATAAAACAAAAATAATTAAGACACAATGCTTCCCTGCCCTTGATAAGTAAATTATGGCGATCCATGTTTTAGGTATATTATGGTAAGGGAAACCCTAGCGCATGTCCTGGATGAGTTACAGCTGTGTTTCCCAACTCTGTTCCTAAAGGCACACCAACTGTACACAATTTTCAACCTCTCCTTAATCAAATACACCTGAATCAACTCCTCAGAATATATATATATATATATATATATATATATATATATATATATATATATATATACATATATATATATATATATATACAGTAACTTGTTTATAAACTCATATTTTTTGTTTGTGTTTATTTTTCACCTTAATAAGCCCTACATGCAAAAACCTATAGTCTACGTTTTTTTTACACATTAATTAAATGGTAGCGATAATTCGTCCATGATAAAATTTGTTGTCCAACAAATCTGCTTTGTGTCTTTCAGGAATGTTTCCTACCCAATTTCAGGGAGG